TGTTAGACCTGTTCAAACTGACTTAAACACGTTCAAGCATCAAAACACAACTGTGAACAAGAAAATGAAAATTCATCATAAAAATTATTTAAGTATGATTCAAATTTAATAATGTGGAGCACAAGGTGTGCATTTTTATTTGTATTAAATAGAATTTTAAAAAAAATCTAAAATATTTTCGGTAAAATCTGTAATAATTTAAAAGCATTTTGCATTTAAAAAAGAGAGGAAGGTCGAAGTGACGTCTCTGTGAATCTGAAGAGTTTAAAGAGTTTCTTGTTTTGTGAAAGGAACAGCAACATGACGAGGGCTGTACGGGAGGAGCGAGCACCGAGCGAGCTGGATGAGCAGCAGGACTCATGCAGCCCTGCAGGAAAACACACAGGGAGGGGAGGAGAGGAGGAGGAGGAGGAGGAGGACCAACTCCACCATCTGGAGGAGAACGAAGAGGATGATGACGACGAGGAGGAAGAGGATATCGGGGAGAACAAACCCAAGAGGCGAGGACCAAAAAAGAAAAAAATGACAAAAGCTCGTATGCAGAGGTATGGTTCAACACAAACATTACATCACAGGAACACGTGTTAAAATATAAAATATCCTCAAGATATATTTATGTAATTTGACACCAACATATCAGTCCCTGTCAGATAAAATATGATCACAAGAAGATACACGTTAGGGATATTTCAAATATGAAGGAAGACCCCTCTGACTGTTCATAAAATTAAATACATAATTAATTTGATGAAAGGTTATTTTCCTTGTACTCAAAAAGTCATTTTARTAAAACATAACAGTTCAGTGAGCTTTTTATTTGTAGTAGCATTCTTGAAACAATAGTCTGACACTCAGCTGCTTCCTGAATGTTTGGTATTAAATAAAAACCATTTGTCATTGCAGGTTTAAGATCCGACGAATGAAAGCTAACGCCCGTGAAAGAAACCGCATGCACGGGCTGAACGATGCCCTGGAGAGTCTGAGAAAAGTCGTCCCCTGTTACTCTAAAACTCAGAAGCTGTCTAAGATTGAGACGCTGCGACTGGCCAAGAACTATATCTGGACTCTCAGTGAGATCCTGCGTTCTGGCAAAGCGCCTGACCTCATGAGCTTCATCCATGCGCTCTGCAAAGGTAAGATATACTGTATACTGTAGCACCTTTCTCTCCAACCAGGGTACTGAAAGTACTTTACAGTCTGTGGCCTTGTTCACCCATTCACACACATTCATTCATTACTCTACCATGTTTCTACATATAATACAGAGAAATCAATGTATAAAGACCAGAG